CAGGAAATTATATTTTAAAATGCTAAGTTCAGCATTCTTCATATTTCAAGGTTTTCTTGTGGATAAACATTTTTGCTTCAGGATACTTTTGTGTTGCTACATTTAGATAAGCCCAGTAGTACCTCCTATGTGATTGATGTGTTTTGGTTATGTGAGTACCAATATAATTGAGATTGTGGTGATGGCTAACAAAACAACATAAATTCTCTCATAAAATAGAACTACCACACCAGCTCTGGCTCCTAGTAGTGCCTGTGCTAGTATAGCTAAGCCATCTTGAATGAACATAGGTGTTGCAACTTACAATACACTGCTAAGGCAATTATAGCCAACCCCCCCCCCCTTTCTTTTGTAAACTGAAGCATAATAATGCACTAAAACTTCAGATTAATGAGTTTCGATATTTTAAAATAATTATAAGTAGTTACTATTGTCCTGCCTTTCAACTGAAAACTATTTTAAAGGTACATAAATGTATAGTGGGAGGAGGGAATGAAGGTAAAATAAGACTACCACATAGATGATGATTGTACAAACATCAGAGGCATACAGCATGTGTTGAGTTTGAAAGATTTTTCCAGACTTAAAATTCTTCCTTTAAGAAGACTTGAGAACTCCCAAAAGCTTTATATTTAAGAAATAGGGTTACCCTTTTAAAACACTATTTCCTTGGCTGTCTGTTCTGCATTTTGTTGCAGGATTGATGTTAACAAATGATTTTTTTATTCTCCAGGCTGTGTAGTTCCAGGTGCTGGAGCCTTGGAGGTGGCAATAGCTGATGCACTTGTAAAACATAAGCCCAGTGTGAAAGGAAGAAGCCAGTTGGGGGTTCAGGCATTTGCTGATGCATTGCTGATCATTCCTAAGGTAGGAAGCTTCTGGACTCGAATAGCATTCTTGAGCTCTGTAGTTACCATCGACAAGACTTTCCAGCTATCAGCAGAGATACAGCTGAAATGAAAATGAAAAGGAGTGGGTGTCAGTCAGTTTTAAGTATATATTGGGCATTTACTAAATACCAAATAGCTCATTTTTGACAGAGTGAACAATAGAAAATACCCCCCCCCCTTTATTTATTCTTACAGGTACTTGCTCAGAATGCTGGCTACGATCCTCAGGAAACGCTAGTTAAAGTTCAAGCAGAATATGCTGAGTCAGGACAACTAGTGGGGGTGGACCTAAATTCTGGTGAGTACAGAGCAGTGGTTGGGACTAGTATGATTGACAGGGACTTACTTCACAATTCCAACCTGCTGGGTATGTTATGGTCATCAAAGTTTTTCCTTTTACAAACTAAGCTAGCAGATGGTTGATGATTTTTAAAAATGACAGTTACTATAAACTAGTTCAGTTGCAAGCTTTTATCCAGAAAACAGTAGCACAAACTTCTCAAGAGATCCTTGGTGCTGTCTGAGCTTGGTTTCTTGCCAACATTTCTTTATGCAAACTAAGTAACATCAGCACTGATTATGTTACCTAGTTTGGGTAATGAAACATCTGCAAGAAAACAATCAAGCTCAGAGAGCACCAAGGACCCCACAGTTCAACCCTGAGCTGCAAGCATTCTCCTTTATCGATGTTCTCTTTAGAATTTATTGAGGTGAGCTGGTGATAATGGTTGTACTTTTATTTGTGACAATTTAGCAATTACATAAACTTGTAACTGTTAAAAAGGTTACAAATCTGAATATTGTAAAGAAAGCTTGGTCATGTTGCTAATAACCCAGGCAAGGGCAGGCTATAAACATTTGTTGTACATGTAATCCTCAATTTAAATCTCAATTGGGATTGAAATTAAGGTTGCTAAAAGGTGCAGTCATTAAGCAACTTGACTGGACCCAATTTTATGACTCATTTTTATCACAGCCATTAAGCAAATCAGTTTCTTACCACAATCATTAAGCGAATCATATGGATGTTAAGTGAATCACACTATTGTGAAGTGAATCTGATTTCCCCAATTTACATATTGAAAACTGGCTGGGAAAGTTGCAGAATGCTCCCAAAGGAAACAGACAATTTCTTTCCAGTTTCTAAACCATGTTTAACTTGATAGCATATTTATGCATGTCTTCAGTTTCCAACCCAGTTTGTACAAAAGGTCCTTTATAAAACAAAACAACCCTGGCAGTCTTATCAAAAGAAAATGGAACAGATATTATTGTTGCCTTTTAATGAACTTTCTCCTATGTCTTTCAGGTGAGCCAATGGTGGCAGGAGCAGCTGGAATCTGGGACAATTACAGTGTTAAAAAACAGTTGCTTCATTCTAGGTAACATTTTATAGCTAACCATTTTTTAAAAATGACCTCAACTGCATTTGGAATTGTATATAGAATTTGACAAGTAAGACCTGGTTGAGTAAACTTTTTACATAAATAGGTATGTTTTTCCAGACTATTTTAATGCTTGTAACTAGGTATGGAGTCTGATATTTCAGGATTTTTGCTTTTAATGCAGGAAGAAAAAACAGAAATGGCCATATGAACCTTCTTAAGGAATACAAGAAAAGGGGCTGACTGACTGTTTATTAAACGAATGATAAATTAGGCATTTTAACTTTGCATAATGGATTATTGTGGTTTTTATTGTTGTGAGCCACCCTGAGTTTGTTGGAGATAGGGCGGCATATAAGCCTAATAAAATAAAATAAAATAATTAAATAAATAGAGACCAATGAAATTTATCTTCCTGTTTTCTCCAGCACTGTTATTGCTAGCAACATTCTCTTGGTTGATGAAATTATGCGAGCTGGAATGTCATCTCTCAAGGGCTGAATTGGAAGACCTCGAATGGAGAATCTCTACCAACGGTTTCCTGAATTCATGTTAACAGCATCCCTTTTCCAATATGTAATTCAAAAATTATAGGAAGAAGAAAAGTTTACCTTCAGGAATTTGGCCACTCACAAATTGAGATCTTTCATTTCTATAGAAGCAATTACTATTTATTTTTTACATGCACTGAACAAATGCATCTGAAGTTACTGTCTTTCTGCCCATTAAAGTTTTGCCTTCTCTTCAGGCTTGAGTGTTGTCTATTTTAAAAATGCTCATTGTTTATATCATTTTCTATAGTTTCCCCTGCATTAAAAAACCCACCCTTTTTATGACCATGTAGTCCCTTCCTGTAGAGTCAGGGTAATATATGGAGCTGAGCATTTACTGGCTGGATGCCTTTCTTGACACCACATGGGAGTTTGCAGCAGATACTTCTATTCGCCCTAGGAGAGAAACATCGGCCGTTATCTAGGATTGAACTCTCAACCTTCCAAATGGCAGGCGAGCATCATCTCCAATAGGCCACCATGCGACTTATATTTTCTACTGCATTGTTGGTATGAAATTCCATGGCACATATTGCCAGAAAAAACTTACCTTATATATGCATTCAAGGTGGTGCATTACAAATATAAAACATCATAAATCATTAGAATTAAAATCAAGGTGTTAAAATTAGTTTGAAATTAAAAGCCTAGTGATGAAATGCATTTTTGCCATTTTTCTTGAAAGTCTCTAATGGACAAAACACTATACTGGGATGGTGGCTGAGGCACTGGAAAGAGGAGCTTGACAGGCAGGCAGTAGGTATACTGTGTTGGGACATTTGGGCAGGCAAAGGTGAGACATCTTGCCACTGAGTTAGGGTTAGGTTACTCAACTCTTGCTCATTACTACTACATTAAATAGTGTATTTACCATACTCCCCAATTTTCATAGCATTGCAGCACTATAGTTTTGCTGAGTCAAGTGTGGCTTCTTCAAACTGGTTAATAAAATGAGAACCTTTAGAACAGAATTTTTATTGGCCAAGTGTGGCCAATTGGACACAAGGAATTTGTCTTGGTGCTCTCAGTGTACATAAAACGAAAGATACATTCAAGAACCATAAGGTACAACACACAATAATGGTCATAGGGTACAAATAAGCAATCAAATCATACTAGGAAACAATATAAAGGATACAAGCAACAAAGTTAGCAGTCATGCAGTCGTAGTGGAGAGATGGGTGATAGGAATGATGACAAGATTAATAGTAATAGTAATGCAGACTTAGTGAACAGTTTGACAGTGTTGAGGGAATTATTTGTTTAGCAGAGTGATGGCGTTAGGGAAAAATCTTGTGTCTAGTTCTGCTGTGCAGTGCTCTATAGTGTCGTTTTGAGGGTAGGAGTTGAAACAGTTGATGTCCAGGATGCGAGGGGTCTGTAAGTATTTTCACAGCCCTCTTTTTGACTCATGCAGTATACAGGTCCTCAATGGAAGGCAGGTTGGTAGCCATGGTTTTTTCTGCAGTTCTAATTATCCTCTGAAGTCTGGGTCTGTCTTGTGGGTTGCAGAACCAAACCAGACAGTTATAGAGGTGCAGGTGACAGATTCAATCATTCCTCTGTAGAACTGGATCAGCAGCTCCTTGGGCAGTTTGAGCTTCCTGAGTTGGCGGCAGAAAGAACATTCTTCATTGTGCATTTTTTTGATGACTTTTTTTTGATGTTAGCTTAACGAAATCTTTTATTTAAAACATAACATTTATTATTTATTTTTATATGCTGCCCTTCTCCGGAGACCCAGGGCGCTTACAATGCGTTAAGCAATAGCCTTCATACTTTTGTATATTTTTTTATACAAAGTCAGCTTATTGCCCCCACAAACCGGGTCCTCATTTTACCCACCTTAGAAAGGATGGAAGGCTGAGTCAACCTTGAGCCTGGTGAGAATTGAACTCTCAGTAATTGCAGGCAGCTGTTGGACTTTTTTTTAATGTTAGCTTAACGAAAGCTTTTATTTAAAACATAACATTTATATAATAAAATAAGGATCCTTTCGGAGACAAAAGTTTCCAATAGCCATAAATCCCAAGATCAAAAGTGTTTTTCTCTTCCTCTGGGTTTAAGACCAGCACTATGTCGAATAAAAAGAGGGAGAGGAGCGGAGTCCTTCCCCCCCCCCCCCAAAAAAAAAAGAGAAAACCCACGCGAAACCAACCCAGGCCCTTCGCGAAATGAAGGACAGTATCTCGCAGCTGCTGTATTAGTGTGTCTGTGTGAATCGGACGCGCTGAATAGCTAATTGGAAAGCGCTTTACGCTGATTGCCAGAAGTAGGTGGGAGGATCGCAAAGATAGTATATGTAAGCTCGCTTCGCTCGGTTTAGTCGTGCGTGTTGTCGTCCGTGGGGGCGCGGGTCCACGCCGACGGAAGCGCCGGAGAACCAACCGGCCCGCAAACACCCGCTTGGAATCTCTCTTCCCTCACTGTTCTCTCCTCGATGTGTTTTAAAGGTTCGTCCTTGATTTCTCTTTGGGTTCCCTCCCTTGAAAAACTTTTCTTTCTCTCCTTGAACCACTTCCCCGAATTGTTTTTGCCAGGAAGAATCGAGACCGAGAAATAATTCTGTAGAATAGAGCAGGGGTCTCCAAACCTTGGCAACTTTAAGACTTGTGGACTTCAACTCCCAGAATTCCTCAGCCAGCTTTGCTGGCTGAGGAATTCTGGGAGTTGAAGTCCACAAGTCTTAAAGTTGCCAAGGTTTGGAGACCCCTGGAATAGAGTGGAACTTGCTTCAGGCATAGGCATGCTTAGGGCTGGTGTGCCTGTTGAATTCCGATTAGAATTAAATTGGGATCCATCAGAAGGAAGGATGGTACAACATACCATCATTTCCAGGTTTTTAGGCTGCTAACAGTAAAACAATGCAGCAAAAATAGCCAGCACCCTGTGAATCCTAAATATTAATAATTTTATCACGGCTTTAAGCTTTTAGTGTACCGTTATGGGGAAAACAGCTCTGTATTCAAGCAGAGACAGCACTACTCCAGTATTTGAGGGGCTGCCACAAAAAGGAAAGAATCAAAATTTATTTTTCAAAGCACCAGAGGACAAGAAACAATGGACGGAAACTAATCAAGGAGAGAAGCAACCTGGAATTAAGGAGAAACTTCCTAACAGTGAGGACAATTAACCAGTGGGACAGCTTGCCTCCAGAGACATTCTAGGTGCTTCATCCCTGGAGGTTTTGAAGAAGAGACTGGACAGTCACTAGTCTGAAATGGTATAGAACAGTGGTTCTCAACCTGTGGGTCGCGACCCTTTTGGGGGCTCGAACAACCCTTTCACAGGGGTCGCCTAAGACCATCGGAAAACATATTTTCAATGGTTTTAGGAATAATTTTATGGTTGGGGGTCACCACAACATGAGGAACTGTATTAAAGGATCACGGCATTAGGAAGGTTGAGAACCACTGGTATAGAATCTCCTGCTTGAGCAGGAGGCTGGACTAGAAGACCTCTAAGGTCCCTTCCAACTCTATTCTGATTCAGAGTATACTTAATAACGTGTTTCCAAAGAGTATAACTTCAAGGAAATTTCTTCTTTTTTTATGACATGCTGCAAAACCTTTCCACTTGGAAGTTATGTAGCATGAATCCTGTTAAAACTTGTAACATTCCTAAAGCCCTGATGATTTTAGAATGGAGGTTGCCCATGTTATAGAATAAATAATGTAAAGTAAGTATTTTTATTATAAATAATTTGATTTATATTATATGAATATGAAATATATTATATTTGATTTATACTTAATAATGCAGGACAGTCGGTAAAATAGAAATATCCAAATAGATAATGATAAAGCAAAAGCAAAATGTATAATGTATAAAGGTATTGCAAATTCTTGCTTTTAAAAAATACAGTACTGTCATTTGAAATAGTTATTGCATTTGAATCTAAGAAAATAATAGGGAATGTTGGGGAAAGTATACATGAGATTGTGCTTTCTCATTTGTTAAAGTTTTCACATTTTTAGAAATAGCTGAGAACCGAACATACTATTTTGTATGTTCGGTTTTGTTTTGTTTTATTTTTTTCCACTGGCCCTACAATTTTTTCTGCTAGAAGTCTTACTGCAGCCCTCAAAATGTCATTCAAGACTTCCTGTGACTGTCCTCAAAAGTTGAACCCCTGACCTATAAGCAATATTCACACCACACATTAGACTACAACCTTAGATTAGCAAAACTTAATTACTGTGTTCATATAACATGTGCCCGGTAAATAAACCAAGTACTAATCTGTTTTCCCCAAAATAAGACATCCCCTAACAATAAGCCCAATCGGGCTTTTGAGCACATGGCAATAAGGCCAAGCGCTTATTTCAGGGTTCAAAAAAATATAAGACAAGATCTTATTTTCGGGAAAACACAGTAGCTTTACATGATGGGTGATTTAAACAGCAAGTTAAGGTTATGGAGTCTTTTCCATGTCAACTAGATCACAAACTGCCAACCCTTTTGAAGCCTTCTGTGAATCCAGCTGTTATCTTCTGAATTTCCTCCTTTCATTCTTCTTTGTAAATGGATCCAATCTGGGTCGGTCATTGGGACTGGAGGTTTAGTCTTCCGAGCTTTCGGACTCATGCTAGAGCCCATCCTCAGGGAATTTCTCTCTCACCAGAATGTGAGAAAGCTTGGAAGACTAAACCTCTGGTCCTAATGACCAATCCAGATTTGATCCTGTAACATTATCCTGGGATACGTATATTTGCCTTCATTCTTTGCTACTAACATTCTTGCTGCTAATTTTAACTCTTCTCTCAGCTTTCGGGAAAGATGAAGGTACAGTACAGCTGCCTGGTGGGAAATTGGAAATCAGAACCAACATATTGGATGGTAAAAATGAAGACAGATCCCTCAGGACAATCAAACCATTCATTATGGACAAGTATCCGGTCACCAACAAAGACTTCAGGTAAAGTTCACATTCCATGTTAGCTGAACATAGTTTTTGACTGGCGGTAGTTTCTCTCTTATTTAATAATACAAATATTTTCACTACCATTTTGGATTGCATTCACAACTTGCAGCTTTCTAACAATTCCAGGTCAGCCCTTCAACGTAGACCAGATGAGGAAACAAACTTTACAAGAAGACTAGAACTATGCACTACTTTGTTAAGAAACTCCTCAAAGTTTCAACAGCACAGTTCATGCTGCAGTAAGATTGTGGCAGGATATTCTTGAGGACTAGAATCATGCATAAAGAGTTGTCTTAGCTGGGTGGTGTAAACAGAGTGCAGATTTGGGGTTGATGGAATGTTAGGGAAGGTAAATTTCTGATACAGCTATTTTGTGGCGAAGTCCAATCTGGGAGCAATTTAGTAAGTAGTAAGAAACAACAATAATATCCTCAGTGCCAACCTACTCTCTCTATGCAAATTCCTTCACACCCTGGATTTCCTAGTTGCTTTATTTTCAGAATATCATTAGGAAAACCAATACATAAATAGTTTGCAAAGGCTAACACAAGAAACCAGTGCTGAATGAGAAAGGGCATAGTGCATTGTGGTTAGTTGTAGATCATATGTGTTCCCGCAGTCCTTCTCTTTGGGTCCCTCAAATCAGAGGTGAAATGCTCCTGGTTCGGACTGGATCGCCTGATCCGGTAGCGATGGTGGTGGGTGGTTCAGAGAACCGGTAGCAAAAATCCCTGTGCCCCCCACCCCATGCCCAGCACGATCATCAGAGGCTGTTTTTTTTAAACTTTTAAAAGCATTTTTTCTACAACCTCTTCGGCTGAAAAAATGCTTTTAAAAGTTTAAAAAAAAGTCTCTGATGATCGCGCGGCTCAGCTGGGATCGTCAGAGTCTTTTAAAAGTATTTTTTTACCACCCCTTCCGCCGAAAAGATTTTAAAAAAAATGTTTTTAAAAGTAAAAAAAAAAAAAAAAAAGTTGGCCATGCCCACCCAGTCACATTATCCCCACCAAACCACGCCCACAGAACTGGTAGTAACAAATCTTACATTTCACCACTGCCTCAGAGACCTCAAAATTATGTCCTAAGATATTTGCAGACACCCAAATTACAACAGTGCACTTTCCCACTGATGTTTTATGGGAACAGAAAGAACTAGACATATCGGACATTATGTAAATGTATAAAACTGACAAATGAAAACATAGGGCACCATCAATTCAGTTCCCATTCCAGGTGATTTCAGCACATCATTGTCACATCCCCTGCACCCTTCTCCTGCCAGAATTTTAAAAGCAGAAGCCCCCAGCCACAAAATTGTCGAGAGATCTCCAAAAATGACTGATTTGGAAATCAGTTCTATCTTTTGGGCACAGGGAATTTGTGAAGGACGAGAAATACAAAACGGAAGCTGAGAAATTCGACTGGAGTTTCGTCTTTGAGAATTTTGTCCCGGAAGAGCTTAAAAAGAAAGTGACGCAAAAACTAGAGGTAAAGGGCTACTTTTCAATATTTTGGGAGAAAGGGGTGATTTTGATCAACCTGCCTTGCTTTCCAAACTCCAGAAAGTCTTACAGTTCATAGATTACTCAGCACCAATTTACATCAGTAAACGGGTCAGTCAAGTATTGGGAAATAGAGTGGTAAGAGGGTGATTTCCCAGGGAGAGAAACTACAAGTAATAAATTCTAGGAAACTATAATTCTAACCTGAACTGTCATGAAGTGAGTTGATCTATCTCACCTAATGTAGCTTCTGTAGCTTGGCATCTTTTCAGACGTCCTGCCTAAAATTTTGTGATCTGAAATGTTCAGCCTGCAAAGTATAACTTTGATTTCTTATTGCATATATCTTCTATTGCTTCTAGTTTGGCATGTCAAGTCCTTAGGGCTCTGTATCTTTATTGAGCAACAAGCTTTAGTGATCTCAGCAACTAACATTACAACACTTTCCAATGCATTTGAAATCATAAGGGCTAGCACCATCGTTTTCTTTTAAAATGGATTTTTTCATGAACCAAGATTTGTGGTCAAAGTTTACACCATCCTTCTTCCTTTGAAAAGGATTGTCTATCCAATGTTATTCTAAAAATGGGGGACAAATGTATGTTATTTTGGTGAAGAACGGAATAGTTCATAATTGGGATTTTTAAAATTGTTGATTACATTCTACTTTTATTCTTCCCTTTAGTCAGCACCATGGTGGCTTCCAATTGAGAAAGCATTTTGGAGACAGGTGAGTCTTTACTAGAGGACAAGAGGAATATAGATGTTATCAGAGACATGATTTGGGTACCACAGTGTTGATTAGTGAACTGGATACAGTAGTAATCTGGGCTGACATCCAAGATGCATAACATTAGTTGGGGCCCTCTGCATATCCTGCCAATAGAAAATATACAAAATGTTTTTGCCAGCGCTAGAAAATCCACAGTGCCCTTAGATCATATCTGCAGGCTCCCCAGATGACATCTGAAAATTAGTCCTTTTTAAAGGGCAAAATAAAAATAAAAATCAGGAGCTCACCACATCTTGTGAAAATTTGATATATTTTTTTAGATTTTAATGAGATTTCTAGTAAGAAATTATCTGTTTCTGTTTCCAGCTGAGTGTGCCCAAGATCTTTGAGAATGAGACTAATGATGTCTCAAGGTAGTTTGGACATTGAATTAATTAATCTGTCTTTAAACGCTTGGCACCTGAAAATGTTGGTAGACCCTGCCTTGCAGTAGCTTTTTAGGCGTGTAAATTTAATTTAGGGATTTGAGAGAACCAGAACCCCCCAAGGGAATGGATAACCCCAAGAAACTAATTTGGTCTATGGTGGAAAGGCCAGATCACAGTTGGGTTTTGATCCAGTTTGTGCAAAAAAACAATTTAGAAATTCCTTGGCATATGCAGAGATCAAATTGGCTGAGCATATGAGGAAGATCCATGCCCTTGTTTATCTTATGAACTATTGCAAGATTATCTTTGTTGAGGTTTAGAAAATCTAACCTTTGACTTTTCCCCTAGCTGCTTCTTAGCTGGCTGTCATGCCATCAAATCACCCAAATTCTTGCTCAGCTGATTGTGGTAACAACAGAGTTTGTTTTTTCCTCTTCCCTCCTTGTCCTGTTTCCTTATGTCTCATATCATTTAGATTATAAGCTTCAGAAAGCACCTCACTACTGTACAGAGATTGCAAGGCATTCTGAGAGCCTTTTTAAAGAGAAAAATGGATAACAGTGTCTTAAATAACTAGAATCCTTTCCCATCTTCAGCCTTCAGGTCCTGGATCCAGCATCAAAGACAGGCTAGACTACCCAGTGTTACACGTGAGCTGGAATGATGCTCAGGCTTTTTGCAAATGGAAAGGGAAGAGGCTACCAACAGAAGAGGAGTGGGAGTTTGCTGCTAGGGGAGGCCTGGAGAGTACGTAAGCAAGGAACCAAAGTGGTCTTAGATCCATCACCATAGCATCTAGAGCACTGCTTCCCAAACTTTTTCCTACATCACCCAAAACCATTTATCCGAAAGCCCTTTTTACCCAGTGTAGGTATAAAACAGTTTAAGTCAATTTAAATGTCCCTGTTGTAATTGGGTAATGGATTGGGTATGTTGTTAGCCAAAGAAAAGCCACTTTTACCCAATTTGGGGTAATTTACCAGGTTTGGAAAGCATTGATGTAGATCAAGATTCTTGCCCTTTTAATCCAGGCAGGCAGTCTACAGCAGTATTTCTCTACTAACAACTTTAAGATGTGTGATTTCAACTTTCAGAATTTTCGAGCCAGCATTGGGCTGTTCCCTCTCTTTACAGAGTGGAGAGATTGGAGAAAAAAGGATTACAAGAGAGTAAGCAAGCACACAATGGGGCATATACATAGAAAAAAATGCCGTGGCACCAACAGCCCTAAGTGTGCTATTCAAATAGCATATTTAGGAGTTTAGACTTTAATAATCAACATGCTTTTTTAATGTTTGATATTAAAGACAAACCGCTCCAGGGTCAATGGTTGAAGGGAGGAAATTGGCATGTTTAGAATTGATAGTGTGGATTGACATTACCATTCTATTTTATTCTTTTCTTTCCCTTTTTGGTAGACAGATTGTATCCTTGGGGAAACAAATTCTTAGCCAACCGCACAAACCTCTGGCAGGTAAGAGACCAAAACTGGAATTTTTACTTTTACAAAATGAAAAAATGATTTTTTTTTATTTTTACAAAATGAAAAGCTAAAGAGGATGATGAAAATGACAAAAATGGTTAAAGAGAAAATCAGAGCAAGAGAAAACCAATTTTTTAAAAAAGGCAGTAATAACCAGGAGACAGATTGTGTGCATGTATGAATGAGTTCATATGTAGTCTTGACAATAAATAGGGATTCGCAGGCTCAGCGAACTGGTTGTTACCGGTTGAATCCCACCACTTATTTCATTGTTTCACGGGCTGTTCAAGACTACTCTTGAACTATGACACACACACGCACCTGAATTTTGGCACCCAGTTTGGATTTGTTGTCTTATTTACCTTGGTTGTTCGCATATTTACCTCCCTTTCTCTGCACAGGGCAACTTCCCCAAAGTTGACACAGCTGAAGATGGCTTCCGCGGAGCATCCCCAGTGGCAGCGTTCCCTCCTCAGAATAACTATGGTAAGATTACAGGTCTTAGTCATTGGAACTTGTCAGTCTGCGGATGCTGATGTGGAATAGGAAGCATTTTAAGTAAAGGTTCTTGAAAGTTCAAGGTTTTAGTCCTCTCTCTAGCAAGCTAAATTGTCTTCCTAACACATAGTTGCATTTTACAAAGTTCTGTGGATAATACAGGTGGATCTTGCTTAACGACTGCCCTGTTAAATGTCTGTTCAAAATTACAATGGCCGAATAAAAAGTAGCTTTATGACCAGTCCTCGCCCTTATGGTTGTTGCGGTATCCCGTGATCACATGATCACTATTTTTATGCTTCAAAGCTGACTTCTGACAAGCAGAATCAATGGAGAACTTCGCAGTAAAATTGCAAGTTGTGGTTATATGATGTCACAACGACAGCAAGTTATTAATTTAATGGAAATGACATAAATCCGACAGAGTTACATGATATTTTGCTTAGTGACAGAACTGCTGGTCCATATTGTAGTTGCTATGCAAGGACTATCTGGATTGGAACCTCCAATTGAGTTTGTGATATGAGTGCAGATTTAGTTCTAGAAAATATGCCAGCATCAGTTTTTCAGAAACCTTGTAGATACATTTTTCTACTTATTTGCTCTTTTTCTTTCGGATTTTCCAGAGCTCATATATTTCTCTGCAAGCAGTTTAGAGGCTTCCCCAAGTGAATTACTGTCTTTGCTGTATCACAGGCTTATACGATTTGCTAGGAAATACTTGGGAATGGACATCCTCAGAGTATCGTCCAAATGGTCCTGCATCCCGCCAGCCGGGTCAAAAGATGCGTGTCCTGCGAGGAGCATCCTGGATCGATACAGTGGATGGCTCTGCCAATCACAAAGCTGAGGTTACAACCAGGTATGCTGGCAGGTGACATCTTATCAGCACCTTCTCCTCCAGAATTTAAAACTTATAGTCTACTGCAGAAGCACAATCAGCAGAAGCCATCAATCTGACAAAAGTAACAGCACACTATTGTGTAGCAAGTCCTGCCCCTTTTGTATGTGTGTCATAACATCACATAGGCATTTTAAAAAGGGTGGAGCTTCTGGTATAACAATATGATGCTGCTTATGTCATTTGTCAGAAGTAGCCAGGGCTGCCAAGATTTCCAGTGATGAAAAAGCTAACTGACTTTCTACCGGCAGCAAGAGACATTGTGACTGAAAGCAGCAGCTGGATGCTGAATTCAGACCACTGAAAATTCCTTAGAAAGGAGAAATCTTGAGATTGTCCATACAACTGGGGAAGAGACTGAAAAAGCAAGAATGCATCCTTGTTCTGACCCGGCTCCCAAAAACAACAAGCCCTTTGTATTTAACGAAATGTTCCCTTTATTAGGAGCGCCAGCAACCGCTCTCTCACAAGAGGCTATCAAGTCTCTAAGTCCTGTGGAAAGTGACACTCGCTCCCTTTCCCCCTAAATTAGTCCCAAAACACCAGGAATCAATCTCTCTCTCTCTCTTCCTACATTTGCAAAGGAAGTCCTGGAAGGCGCGCTCACATTCTTCCAGCAGCAGAGAAATGCACACACATGCTCAGCAGGTGCTGCAGATTCCAAGAAGAATTCTGACAATTTCCAGACAGGATTCGGAAGTGCAGGCTATCAGTGGCTGACCGGCAGGGAGATGAATAGTTGTCTGCCACTTCTATTCATCTCTGCCCCCTGCCTTTTATCCCCTGAGCAAGGGTGGGGCTTCGCTAGCAGCGATGGCTCTTCCGTCCCAAGGACCGTCCCACGGATTTTCACTGCTCTCCTCTCCTCTGCCTTCTGCGCATCTGCATGTCATGCAGTGGACCCAGCTGTTCCTCCTCTTCCTCATCAGCCACCTCCAGTCCTGGGAGCCATTGACTCTGAGGGCTGATGGACAGTCCAGGCTCTGTCTCTGTCTGTCTCTCTGCCAGCTCCATTCCCTCTTCCCCCTCGGAGCTCTCAGGTTACCTTGATGCTGGCCCCGACTCCCATTCATCCTCCTCATCTGATTCAGCTGCTGAAGGGGCTGGCAGCTGACAGGCTACAACAATCCTTTTTATAATTTATTATCCCTGTTAAATAAACATTTAACATTTACTATTGCCTAATTAATTGGGAATTCCTTTTTAAACTCACCAAGAGTAAACTGATTGAATGAACTAAATCCCACTTTCTCCACTCTGGCATTTTTCAGGTGTATTTAGATTGCAACCCCTAGAATTTCCCAAGCAGAGTTCTGGTTATAGTCCTAAAACATGGGAAGAGAAAAAAATTAGGAAGGCTGAAGGAGCTCTGGATTTGGGCCAGATGACCCAGGAGATCTTCTGCTAAAACAAACTTTGTTCCTCTTAATCCATAGGATGGGGAACACTCCTGATTCCTCTTCAGACAACTTGAGCTTCCGATGTGCCAGCAGCCTCGTCAAGCAGCCAGCGCAGGAAGCTGTCGGCAAAAAGGCTGAACTTTGAAGCCAACATTAAACTCTTCTAAAAAGACCCAGATCTTTTCTCCTATGGAGATGGGTCAGCCTGCATCTTTGTTGGCCAGACTTTGGGTATTTTTTGAATGGTTTTGATAAAGGGCAATGTTAATGCTTGAAAGTTAAAAATGAACAAAACCTTCCTACTGGTTGTAATTGTAATACAGCTACGCATTGTTTGATATTTGCAGATTACTGGTTTCATTCTGGAACAATCCTGTGCAGGAAACCATTGTGCTATCTAAAGTGAGATTGGCTGGGCTCATTCATTTCTCTAACCAAGGGGTGTCAAACTCGATTTCATTGAGGGCTGCATCAGGGTTGTGTTTGACCTCAGGGGGCTGGAGTGGGTGTGGCCAGGGTGGGCGTGGCCAGCTCAACATCACTCATGTAGGGGGCACCTATGGTGGCCCGAGTGCTCTGCCACAGAAAACAGGTTCCCGGCGGCCTCCTGTAACGGAGCTCAGGAGGGCTGCTGTTTTCAGCTGTGACAGCCTCCTGCAACCCTCTGCCAGCGAAAACCGAGCTCGCAGTGCTCCCGAGCTCCGTTTTCGCTGGCAGAGGCACTGTGGGCCATTCCGTTGTTTCCGGGGCGCTCCCGCGGGCCAGATCTAAGCACCTCGCGGCATTGAGTTTGCCACCCCTGCTCTAAGCCATGTACAGTATTTGTTTTTGGTATAGCATTTTGAATAAACCCATCTGTTAAGATTTGCAAGCTTTAGCTTGTGGCCAGCATGCTGTGTTGGTTGATTAATTTAAGAAACCATAGTTAAGAAAATCATGGTTTGGCAGAATGAGTAAGGAGCCTAGGAGCCGCAAGGGGCATGGAGAGGGTGCTGTGATGTCATTGGCACTGCCCACACCCTTTGAAATATTGCTTAAACCACAGTTGGCATTCTTCATACAACACTGTAAACCAAAACCAAACCAATCATATTATGATTTAGCACTATGTCATAATCCAGCCACTAATTCTTTGGATTTTGAGATCCCTTCCAGGAACTGCTTATAATTTCCCCCTCCCCTCCCTTCCCCTCCCCTCCAGCACGACTCTGCCACAGTTTTAAGTGAGACAGGATCATGGCCAATTTGGGATAAGGTTCTATCAACTTTGGATGAAATTTGAGAATCCACATATCACAATTCAGTTGGTTTGAATAAAGAAAACACATTTATTGTTTGTTAAATATTTTTTTAAAAAATCATGTGCAGCTGCAATAAATAATAATTCCATAACACATCTATGTGGCGTTTGAGTCATGACAACTGGATTTCTTTTCTTTTTGCTGCTTTGAAACGTTTTGTTGCTTATCCAAGTAGCTTCTTCAGTCTGAACAAGTTAACAGAATAACAAAATAACAGAATAACCGAGTTGGAAGGGACCTTGAAGGTCTTCTGGTCCAACCCCCTACTCAAGCAGGAAACTCTATACCATTTCAGACAATTGCAGTGGTAGGTTGCCCCCGGTTCGCACCGGTTCTATAGAACTGGTAGTAAAACCAGCGGGAGGCTCCGCCCACCGTCCCTGACGTCATCAAAATGCTTCTGCGCTTGCGCAGAAAAGGGCATACAACCCCGTTGTAAACTGGTAGTAAAGGTAAGTAGAATCCACCCCTGGACAAATGGCTGTCCAATCTCTTCTTAAAAACTCTCCAGTGTTGGAGCACCCACAACTTCTGGAGGCAAGTCGTTCCACTGATTAATTGTTCTAACTTTCAGGAAATTTCTCCTTAGTTCTAGGTTAAAGTTAAAGTTGCTTAGGGGGACTCCATAGATGTCCTCCAGTGTGGATTGGAGGACATATATGTGGTCCCCCTAACCAACTTGCTCAGACTGAAGAAGCTACTTGGATAAGCAACAAAATGTTTCGAACCAACCAAAACAAGTCCAATAGTAGTTGACTACTACTACTATGGCAACTACCTGGATGACTGAGAATCTTCATCAACATAACTCAGCTATGTGTTAATGCTAGACGTTTATCTATCTTCCTTGTTACAGATAATGGAACTGCTTATATTTGATGTTTTCTTTGCCTACTTCTGCTGGATTGGGATGTGTTTCATTGCAGTAATGGCAACCTGGATCTTAACATACAGTACATCAGTGAAGCATGGCAGCAACTCTCCCACCCCACCAGCAATCCACAATAGCTGGCATTCAAAACTAGGCTGGCTTGAAACACGGAAGTTCCATTTCAGACATCATGCCGAATACATCCTCCATACTTTGAATGGAAGATTTGGGTTCTAAGCAGGGGTGAAATCTAAAATTTGTTACTACCGGTTCTGTGGGTGTGGCTTGGTGGGGGGATAATGTGACTGGGTGGGCGTGGCCAACTTTTTCTTTTTTAACTTTTAAAAGCATTTTTTCTATAACCTTAAGAGATTGCAGAAAAAAATGCTTTTAGAAGCCTCTGATGATCAGACAACTCAGCTGGGATCGTTAGAGGCTTTTAAAGGCATTTTTTTTTCTACAACCTCTTCTGCCAAAGAGGTTGTAGAAAAAATGCTTTTAAGATGATCCCGGCTGAGCCTTGCGATCATCAGAGGCTTTTTTTTTTTTTTTACTTTTAAAAGCATTTTTTCGGCTGAAGAGGTTGTAGAAAAAATGCTTTTAAAAGTTAAAAAAACAGTCTCTGATGATCGCAAGGCTCAGCTGGGCATGGGGGGGCTCAGGGATTTTCGGTACCGGTTCTCCGAACCACCCACCGCCATCGCTACCGGATCGGGCGATCCGGTTCAAACCGGGAGCATTTCACCCCTGGTTCTAAGACATGCTACCTTGGCATCCTGAATCTAACAGTAACAGGATACCCCAAAAGCAGAAATCCCCACTTTCTCCAATGTTTCCTTTCAAAAAATTAAATAAGATAAGACTGTGCTGAACATGGAGGATCCATGTATTTATAATAAATTTGTCTACCTCTTTTTAACACCATCTAAGGAAGAGATTGGCAGCCTAAAAACAATTACAAAAGCTTGTGTGTCTCTTTCTAAGAGACGTCTTCAGCCTCAAAGCAGCCACACAGTCCTGGGATGAGAGAAGACTGCTGGTTAGAAAAAGGTCCGTGTTGAATATTTCATCCTATGACTCTTAAAAGTCTCCCCTTTGGAGTGGGAAAAAAACCTTGACGGATGGGACTTGGCATTATGATTTGGTAGTGCAGCTTCGCATTCCAGAGCTTTACATTTATCCTTAGATCTCACAGGTTTCAGAAATAATACAAGTAATCGTCAACTTATGATCACAACTAGGACCAGAATTTCCATTGCTAAGCAAAGCGATTGTTAAGTGAGTCATGTCTGATTTTACTTTCTGCCATGGTTGTTAAGCAAATCACTACAGTTGTTAAAGACTCGTTTAACAAATTCCTCCATTGACTTTTTTTGAAACCTGACTAGAATTGGTTATCACGTTACCTGACTATGCTGCAACATCATAAATTTATTTATTAAATTTATACGCCACCCATTTCTCTACCTAAAGTGGGTGGCTAGAGTAAACACATGCCAAAACGCTGGGATTTTGGTCACATGGCTGTAGGCATATGGTGGTTGTAAGTGCCAGGATCAGTTGCAAGCAGGGGTGAAATGTAAAATTTGTTACTACCGGTTCTGTGGGCGTGGCTTGGTGGTGGTGGGGTAATGTGACTGGGTGGGTGTGGCCAACTTTTTTTTTTTTTAACTTTTCAAAGCATTTTTTTCTGCAAATGAAAAAAAATGCTTTGAAAAGCCTCTGCTGATCAGGAACACAGCTGGGATCGTCAGAGCCTTTTCAAAGCATTTTTTTAACCACCTCTTCCTGGGAAGAGGTGGTTAAAAAAATGCTTTGAAAAGGTTCTGACGATCCCAGCTGAGCCATACGATCATCAGAGGCTTTTGGGGGGGGGGCGCAGGGATTTTTGCTACCGGTTCTCCGAACCACCCGCCGCCATCGCTACCGGATCGCGCGATCTGGTCTGAACCGGGAGCATTTCACCCCTCGTTGCAAGTCACTTTTTTCAGTTCTGTTATTATTTCAAACAGTTGCTTAAATAAATGGTTATAAGTCGAAGACTACCTGTAACTGGTAAACAAAAGTATCAGATCCAGTCTAAACATCTGGCTGACTGTGCAATCAACAGCAATAATAATAATGCACTTAATAAAAAGGCATTCTGGTTTGTATTCGGCTTTACACTTTGCTATTTCATTTCCATCTTTGTTGGCTGGGGAACTGTGGGAGTTGAAGTCTGCACATGTGTTGGGACCCTGCTCAGCCCAATTAGGAAGATGCCAAAGGCTGTTTCAACTGATTTCTTCCTGGAGATTTTGGAAATCAGAGAAGTTCCTCTTCGGCAGCCAAGTTGAACAGGATGACTTTGGGAGTGTTTTCAAAGAGGGCAGCTCTGTTTTGAACTTGTCCTTTCTTCACCCAATGGCCATAGATCCGGAAGGCGCAAGCATCAATCATTTTGCGGACTGGCTTCAGCCCGTAAGGGTCGCGCTGCAGCACATCCTGGGTGATCGGCTTGATGTTGCGGTAGGTGAGGTAGATCCGAACTGAGGCCAGGACCGTCAGGCAGATGACCTGAGAAGAGACGCTTGTTAGACTGGCATCTTCTTTAAAGTATATCTGATTAGTTTGTGATTCTTTTTTTTTTTTTTTTTAAAAGCAGGGCTGTCAAACTCCCGGCCTGTGGGCCGGATGTGTCACGTGCTGGCCACGTCCACGCCTGGTTTAGCGAAAGGGGAAAAAAGTCACGATACATCATGTGATGCCGCCGTGACGGCGCGAGTTTGACACCCCTGTTTGAAGGATGCATTAATTCACCAGGAATGGGCCACTGCCAATAAAAAGAGACTATGTTTACATATACAGAATGCTTTTGGTTCAATTCTTTACCTCTCAATTTGTAGTCAGGTTCACACAGAACATTAAATTCCAGTTGACTATCAGTGCTGCTACATTCACATAATATGTTATGGCTCAAATAAATAAACAGCACTACTTTTGAATGTGACAACTGGATTCCTAAAACATGCTAAACAATGGTTTGAATGTCATAAAACCTGTGTCACCAATTACTCACCCCCATTTGAGCCTAGTTTCTTTATATGCCATCAAGAAGGAATTTATGGTGAAAAGATAAAAAAGAGAGAAAAAGGGTGGAAAATAACAGGAAATATAGGGCAAAATAGAAGAGTGTAGGACTTTGAAATACAAAATGATAATACTGGGATAAATAGTGGGATAAACAGTGGTGAAACAAAAAAAAAAGAAAAGAGGGGGAACAATGGGAAATATAGGGCAAAACAGGAGAGATCAGGATTTTAAGGCACAAAAGGAAAAAAGGAGAAAGAAAAAGTTAAAAATAAAAATGAAAAGGGAAAAAAGGAAAGAAATGAAAGAGGAATATGATGTATATGACTAGAATTGAAAGATGAATTGTAAGAAATAATGTTAAATCATATGGTGAAAATGAATTGAAAAATAATTGGAATAATACAGTAATTGAAATGTTTTTAATGGTTTACTGTGGTGTGTGTACAAACGATTAAGTGATGATTTGGAATAATACGGGGAAAACTATATGATTAGAGGGTAATAGTTAGAATATTTTTAAATTCAACAGGTTTTTTTTTCTTCTGGTTCATATATAAATGAAAAAGATATCTATATAATCAATTGATTTATATTAAAATGTTGGATTGTATTAGTTAAGGAAATGTATGTTATAAAATAAGTGGGTTTATTATTAATATAAGAATTAAATAACTAACACCACATAATTAATTAATTTGAAGATGGATATAAAAATTAGATGATAATGGGAAGGGATTTAATAGAGAATAGAAGGGAAAATGGAATTTGATCAAAATTAGAGATGAAAATGAAGGGTAATATTGGTATAAAATAGATGAAAATAAATGTTATGGCAAAAAGGGAGGTATAGAAATTGTAGTTTTAGTTGAAAGGACTAAAAATTGTTTAAATTTGTTAACCGGCCAAATACTCTGTTCAGCAAAAATACATTGTATGTTTGTGTGTGTGTTTGTGTAAAAAAATAAAAAAAAACTTTACAAAAAAAAAGAAAGAAGGGCTTTAAACTAAAATTGGAGGGGGAGGGTGACCAATCTTTAGAATCTCTAGAACACAAAACCAATCATAAATCCCAAGATTTATGGGGTAACCTGAGGTAGGGAGTGATGAAAAGAAAGAAAAATTCAAACAACAATTCAGCGATGCAGGAAACATAACCATGGACAGGCATAAGTGCACCAGCGTGCCTACCATCCCTATCCTAATATTCCTTTTTACTCTTACTCTTTTCATGTATTCAAATTATGTTTATACTTTTACCTGTTATCTTATATATGCTTGACAAAAATAAATAAAATAAATAAAGGTCTTAAATGCTTATATACAAATTGTCAAAGCTTGGGGAACAAACAGGGTGAACTAGAAGCAATAGTACACCAGGGCAGGTATGACATAGCTGCCTTTACAGAAACCAAGTGGGACCAAACCCATGACTGAGATGAATGCACTGGAATGATGGATGGATACAAATTGTTCAACTTGTTCAAGTTGGTGTTAATTCTTAGCAACCACAGAGTGGTTTTGACTGTGACACTGTCCCTAATTCTGGTCTTTCAGGTTTTCCAGGAGGAGCTTTGTTTTGTATATGGCAACATAATTCATGTATGTTTATATTAATATATTGCTATTTACCAATTTTGAGCAAGATACTGGAGCTTAATTCATGTGCTGAATAAATCACAAACTTCTACAATGCCATGAAACAAAATTAAGGCAAGTGCAATGGCTTAGCATGCTATGTGAACGAATCTTGTTGGTTAGGATCTGCAGCTCAGCAGCATGATGCATGCAGGTACCAAAACAATCCCTGACTTAGCCTTCCACTTTCCCACTTGAAAAGACCCCTTCATCAGAATCAGCATCAGGCACATCCTATTTATTTATTTATTTATTATTCGTATTTCTATGCTGCCCACTCTCCGAGGACTCTGGGCGGCTTACACAAAGACAGTATACTAAATAGCATATTGCCCCCAACAATCTGGGTCCTCATTTTACCCACCTCAGAAGGATGGAAGGCTGAGTCAACCTTGAGCCGGTGAGATTTGATCTGCTAATCTGCTGAACTAGCAGTCAGCTGAAGTAGCTGCAGTACTGCACTCTAACCACTGCGCCACCTCAGCTCTATGTTCTGACCTAGGCTTCCTGATATAGTAAAAAGCACACAATTAATCCCCAAAACCTTTTTTTTTATTTTAACAGCTGTGAATTCCTTTCATTCACAGCACCTGATGAATCACCAAGAGTTTATAAATAGTCCAACAGAAGCCTGCCACAGTCCTTTGGATAAGGCTGGTAAACACCCACCTTTATCTTCTTTGACACACTGCCAAAGACCTAATTATCTTGGCAAGGCCACATGGAAACACAGAGTCAAAAATGGAGCTTCAAAGTACAAACCGACACCATCCAGAACATTGCTTCCTGCAAAGGCCCACGTGCCTTTGCTCTTCCTTTATGTCTTATGGGAGGGGCCAATCATCTCCAAGCCTTACTCCCAAGTCGCCCCTTTTGTTTTAATTATTCTTGCCTTCTGGCAGCTCTGCGCATGCACGCACTAGGAACAGGCTCCCCCTGTTCCTCTGCCTCTCTGATGTCCGACTCTGGAGGCTCCGAAGTCTGCACATAACTCCCAGATGGCCCTGGCCCCATCTCCAAGCCTTCCCCAGACTCCAGGACTGGCCCATGTTCCTCCCCAGCCTCCTCACTGTCCGATTCTGCTGCCAGCTCTGCAGGCTGCTGGCAGACAACAACACATCCATGGGGCAGGTCAAAAAAGTTAAGATGTTAGACAGGAATTGCACGATCTAAGTCCATATCTATTTTACATGCATGGCACATAGAAAAAGGGCAGTTTCAATTGTAATCATCTTGACTTTGTTAAACACCTCCCCCCCCCAATTCCTTGGCTATTACTGAGAAAAATGGCCATCCCTTTCCCAGAATTCTCTGCAATTAGGGATACCCGGAATTTCCGGAAGGGGCTGAAGTGCCGGACTTCCTCCACCATGTACTGCTGGAAGAAGGGGTGGGTAAGGGCATCCTGCACAGTGTAACGATTCTGCGGCTTCACCACTAAACAGTGGGTAATCTGCAGGCAGAAGAACAGAGTTGGGTCTCAGAAGCTGAGGCATTGCTTTTCTGAATGCAGTGGAAAAACACAACGGATCTAGCGCTGGTTAGTACTAATTATTCAAACAACCCCCATACAATCCCATTACACAGGAAAACGAACACCAAGAAACAAAGGGGAATCATTTTCCAATTGGTCCCAAGTACTGTATTTTTGATGTTAGGGTCAATTTCTTAATCATCAGGTGTTCCAATTAGTTTTATCTTTCCCTATCCTGCACTTTTCTCCTTTATTTTTCTCCAAGAGCCTCTGGATCCATCCAGGTGAAAGTTACCTACCAAGTCTTTGACTGTATCTGATTGGTCATCCCACTCTGGAGACCCAAATTTGTAATCTCCATTCATGATCATTCTTAACATCAGCATCTGCTTCCTGTGCCAGAAAGGAGGAGATCCAGCCAGCAAGGTGTACATAATGACTCCTGCACTCCACCTGAAACAAGGAAACCGTCAGAAGGGCAGATTGAACGTTTTTGAAGGTACCAATGTTTGCCCTCTTGTTGTTTTAGCAACAGAATATTTTAAACACAGGGAAACCAAACATTCACTGACCAAATCTGAATTTGTTTCCTAAACTACACCATACAATACTAGCCTTCTCCAGATCAGCTCAAAAGATTCCCTGCAGATGAACAAGCAGGTTGATGGAGAACATCTTCGTTGCAGCAGGACAGACAGATTTTTCTATCTTCATTTCCAGCCCTCAGTAGGTAGTAATGATTTAAGCAGACGTTATGGTCTTATTTACACAGCAATTATACCATATATTGTAATTGTTAATTACACAGAATTATATATGCTGGTACTTACAGCAAATAATTATTCTTTGTCCAATTTATGCTGTAAATACACCAATTGCTGGATGGATTGCTGCAAGGTGTAATCCAACAAATTAAGAGGGCATAATTTTTGACAAGGCTGCTTTGGGGGAAACTGGCATTTTAAAAAAGCAATAACACGGATAGAGATGAAAAGTCATCTCCATAGAACATTGTTTCTCAACTGTGGCAACTTTACGAATAACAGAGATGGAAGGGACCTTGGAGGTCTTCTAGTCCTGCTCAAGCATGAAACCCTATACCATTTCAGACAAATAGTTGTCCAATCTCTTCTTAAAAACCTCTTATATTCGAGCACCCACAATTTCTGGAGGCAAGTCGTTCCACTGATTAATTATTCTATCAGGAATTTTCGCTTCAGTTCTAGGTTGCTTCTCTCCTTGATTAGTTTCCATCCATTGCTTCTTGTCCTGCCTTCAGGTGCTTTGGAGAATAGGTTGACCCCCTCTTCCTTGTGGTAGCACCTCAAATATTGGAACACTGCTATCATGTCTCCCCTAGTCCTTCTCTTCACTAGACTATCCATGCCTAGTCCCCGTTACCATTCTTCATATGTTTTAGCCTCCAGTTCCCTAATCAACTTTGTTTCTCTTCTCTGCACTCTTTCTAAAATCTCAAAAAAAATTTTACATTGTGGTGACCAAAATTAGAAGCAATATTCGAAGCATGGTCTTGCCAGGGCATTACAAACTGTTATTAACACTTCACGTGATCTTGATTCTATCTCTCTGTTAATGCAGCCTAGGATTGTGATTTTAGCAACTTCAAATCCCAGAATTCCTCAGCCAGCAAGATGGCTTGGGAATTCTGGGAGTTGAAATACAGACATCTTAAATTTGGCAAAAAGTGCTATAGAAGATTGGATGGGAAATGAAGTGAATTCCTCTAAAAGCTACATTTATTTTTTCATTAGGATAAACATAGCAGGATTCACATTCTAAGATGTGTTGTCCCTAGCCATGATTTACTGCTATAAGCCACAATTAATGATGTTCACACATCATTAATTGAGCTACATCCTCTGAATATCCAAAAATTACATACCATTTGCTTAAACCCAAATAACCCAAATGATGGCTTAGGATAATGAGTGAACTTGCCACACAATCTTGCTTACATGTCAATTTCCTTCCCATAACCTGGATGATCTGAATCCATGGAACATTCTAATATTTCTGGAGCCAAGTAGCCAGGAGTACCACAGATCTCTGTAAGAAAAACAATAAAAATTTTTTGACTGAAACTTTAGTAACCTTGTTTCTGGAGATGCAAGTCTTGCTGGATTCCTAGAGTTAAAAAAAAAATAGGGGTAGCCTCAGTCAGATCAGATAAAAGACTCACAGCTGCATTCACACAATGTATAAGCCTTAGTTTTCCTTGGTGGTTTGGCATGTCAGATATTCCTAATCCAGTTGGCTACCTTATGGTTAAGGCAGTGGTGGGATTCAAATAATTTAACAACCGGTTCGCCCAGGGTCAGGTTGGCTGGCATGGGAAACGTGGCCTATCCCCATCCTTCAGCTCTGCTGCACATGCAGGACGAGCCTCCCACGACAGCCAACCTGACCCTGGGCAAACTGGTTGTTAAATTATCACCACCGCCCACTATCAAAGTGGATCCTGGGTGCTGCGCTGCGCTGCAATGGAGAAATGGGAAACAGAGCGGCCAGCATGAGGGAAGGAGGAGGAGCAGGGAGAAGAAAGAGGGAAAGCGGCCTTCTCCTTCCCTCGCACTGGCCACTCCGTTGCCCGTTTCTCCATTGCAGCGCAGCGCCCAGGATCCACTTTAATAGTGGGCGGTGGGTAATTTAACCGGTGTGTACCTGCTGAATCCCAGTGTTAACGATAGCCATAGCAATAGCACTTATACACTGCTCCATAGTGCTTTACACCACTCTCTAAGTGGTCAGCATATTGCCCCCAACAATCTGGGTCCTTATCTTAATGACCTTGAAAGGATGAAAGGCTGAGTCAACCTTGAGCCAAAACCAATTAAACTTAGGAATTGGGCATTATAGGTATCCTATAATTTATGACCATTGCTTTCTGACTGTTCAAAGCTTCAAGGTGCCCAAAAAGGGGGATTTACGATCTGGATCCGACTACAGCCAAATTCTGCTCTTTCTCAATCTGTTGTTCAGCACAAGATTATTATTTTCCCAAGAGAAAATTCATTGTTTTTAACACATAAATCTAATGCTCTTTCATAAGAGTGATAATTCCAGGAATATAAGAAGCCTAATACAAGTTCGCTTGTATGAAACAGTGATTGTTTGGCATTATGCAGGCAGATATTTCTGTGGATAACCAGGCCCAAGACAAGAGGAGACAGGATGTGATTGCAGCAACCTAAAATGACCACCAGAGCTAAAATCTTAGCCTCCAAATATATCATCATCGACTGTATCAATGAAGCCTGTCAGATCATATGCACAACAAAATCTGTGTAGGAAGAAAAAACATGACTTTAACATTGGAGCAGCTAAAGTGGACTTAAAGATAGTTCTGTAATCAAGCAAATTGTCTGTCTGTAAAATATCCCTAATTCAATTTTTGGCTACGACGTAACCTTGTGCGGAATCCTGAAGAAGTGCCCTTAGTCAATGTAGAAAATCATTTACACATTGCATTAAGCCCTAGGTTTCCATGGCTTACTTAATGATTTGCAGTTGGCTAAGTCCACTGCCATATGCAAAGTTTTAATATCCATGGTTAGCAAATAGTGATAGCTGGATTCATATAACATGCTACTGCTGTTTGAGCAAGCTGATTCAATGTACCATATTTTTCGGAGTATAAGACGCTCTGGAATATAAGATGCACCTTATTTTGGGGGGAGGAAAATAAGAGAAAAAAATTCTGCTTGAGAGGCTCTCCGTATGAGAGGCTGTGTTTGCAGCCTCCAAAAGCTTCAAAAGGGTGGGGGTTGGTGGGTGGGTGGGGCTACATTCGGTGTATAAGATGCACCCAAATTTTCACCTTTTTTTAGGGGGGAGAAAGTACATCTTATACTCCCAAAAATATGGTAGGTCTCTCCTTACGTAGCTCTGTTCCTAAGCTTCATGGCCACAGGCAGGTCCCTAATTCACAGCTCTCTCCCTTAAAATCTCTGCCCGAGATGGACAGGCCACCTTTGAGTTTTTCATTTTCCTGTAGCTGACACGAGAAGCCAAAGTCAGTGAGTTTGATGTTCATGTCGTCATCTAGCAGGATGTTCTCTGGCTTGAGATCTCTGTGGACAATGTTCAAGGCATGGAGGAACTGAATCACTTCCAAAAGAGCACGCATGATTTTCCTACAGGGAGAAAAAGATCTGATCAGTTAAATAGCAATAGCACTTAGATTTATATACCGCTTCACAGTGCTTTTAAAGCCCTTTCTAAGCAGTTTACAGAGTCAGCACATTGCTCCCAACAATCTGGGTCCTCATTTTACAGACCTTGGAAAGATGGAAGACTGAGTCAACTTTGACTCAGGTGAGATTCGATCTGCCAAATTACAGGCAGCCGGCAGTCAGCAGAAGTAGCCTGCAGTACTGCAATCTAACTACTGCGCCACCGCGGCTCTTTTAAATGAGCAAATATCTGGAAGAAAAGGCAGACATTTTTTATACCCATGCCAAGGATCCATGCTTGGTTCCTGGCATTGCCCATTGATCATCTTCAGCTGGTCTTCCCTAATTTTCAGATATCTTGAAGTTCTCCAACACATGAGCATGTCAGGTTGAGGTGTTTTGATCTCACAATCATCAGGTGTGAATGAAGGATACTGTATTTGCATTAGGGGATTATGTCATCACGGCAGTGGTGGGTTGCTCCCGGTTCAGACGAGCTGGTAGTGGTGATGATGTGACGTCAGTGAACCAGTTCTCTATGACTGTGAGCTGGGCCCTCCCGCCCGCCCCTGCGTTATACCTACCTTTATTTGTCATTTTTTAGCCCAGCTAATAGGCATGGCAGAGTGGATTACTGTGCCTCAGCTGGGCAGAAATCTAATGACCTTGCGCGGAGTGCAAGTTCGGCATGCAGTGATCGCACTGCATCAGGGCTACTGGATCTGGGCTGCCTGCCCAATTCTAGATAACCACTAGAGGGCAGTATAGAGATGCAACAAATCCCATAATGTGTTTTCATAGAATTAAAGTATTAAATAGATTGTAAGGGCTAGAAGGAGAACATCTGGTTTAACCCCCACCTAATGCATCCACCACTAAATCCATCAATATAGCATCTCACTATATAGCATTTCACCATGAACACCTCTTGTAAATGCTCGAAATCCCTGTATTAAATGGAAATGGAAATGAGTTGCTTATGGCTAGCAAACAGAGCAGTCTTTCTCATTCTTTCCAATTTTAAGATAGGTGGGCTTCCACTCCAAGAATACCTTATGCTGGCTGAGGAATTCTGGGGGTTGAAGTCCACATATCTTAAAGTTAGCAAGGTTGAGAAACAGTGAAGTAGAGAGAAGAAAACATTTTGTATATGTCTCAAAGTACTTCATATACACTAAGCCCATGATGGTGAACCTATGGCACGCATGCCACAGGTGGCACTCAGTGCCCACTCTGTGGGAGCGCGAGCGCTTGCCCCAGTTCAGCTCTGCCATGCATCTGCGCATGCCTCCTGCCAACCAGCTGGTTGTCGGGTCTCTGCTGCACATGCGCAGGGGTCGTGTGTGCATGTGCAGGGGTCAGGGCGCATGGGGGGCGTGTGCAGGGGTGGGTTCTACTTACTTTTACTACCAGTTTGCAACGGGAGTGTGCATGCACACGAGCACGCATGCGCAGAAGCTTCTGCACATGCGCAGATTGTACCCTATGATGTCCGGGCGGGTGGGCGGAGCCTCCTGCGCTTTTACTATCGGTTCTCAAGAACCGAACAGAACCGGGAGCAACCCACCACTGGGTGTGTGGTATGCACGGGGCGTGAGGGGGGGGAGGCGTACACATGTGCGGGGCCGCACATGCATTGAATTTGGGGGGTTTGGGCGCGCACACACTTTGGGCATGGAAAAGGTTAGCCATCACTGCAGCAAACTATGCCTGAGCTGAATTGCAATACAGTACAGTATTAAGATTGCTAAACTAATGAGATTTTAGTCACAACTAATCTGTGTAATCGATTATGCAAGGCACCACATATTTCACTAGCTTGCAGGAGACCCTTATATGAGAGGAGGGAAGTTCCACGTTTGGACAGATGATGAGATTGGCAGGTTAGTCAAAACAGCTCACCTAGTTTCCTTCTCACTTAAGGTCACCTTCTCTGTAAGGTAATCAAATAGTTCCCCTTTCTTCATCCTGTTTAGGCAGAAAATTTAGACATGTAGAATATGTTAAAAATGAAGAAAGATATAAAAATAAAATATGGACCCACAATACAACACTTCTGCTTCTGTTGTGTATGTGGCTGTCTATCCCAGTGTTTCTTGATCTTGGCAACTTTAAAATATGTGGACTTTAACTCCTCCAGTGGACTTCAACTTCAACATGCTGGCTGGAGAATCCTGGAAGTTGAAATCCACACAGGTTAAATAAAGTTGCCAAGATCGAGAAACACAGGTCTATGGTAGCCAAAAATCAGGAATCTGATCCTTGATTTGTAAAGCTGAGAGATTGTAGAATTTAATAAAATACAGATAGTCCTAGACTTAAGACCACAATTGAGCTCAAAATGTCGACTGCAGTTGTTATGTGAATTTTGTCCTGTTTTATGACCTTTCTTGCCATAGGTGTTAAGGTGTTGTGGATTTAATAAGACAAACACAACTTTTGGATTAATCAGAGACAATTTATATATTGCGCAATAGGTTCAAAGCTCTGTACATGAAGCGTTGAACAAAGACAGAAATTAGGTACAATGGTTTTATACCTTTCTAGACAAAGGATTCTGTTAACTCAGCAATTCATATGGTCATATACATTTGTCATTTTTAATTGACATTTCCTAATTACTGAGTTTCTTTGCAAAACAGTTATAATTCTTTTTGTAGATTACTGAAGCATAGACTCAAATCATCTTCTGACGATAGACAACTTTTAACTCATGTGGATCCCCTCGACCTAACCAACCTTTAAGCTGTATGTCATTAGAATGTTCCTTTCTTCTGACAACTTAGAGGCCTCCTAGAGGAACCAAAAGGATTTTGGCTGAGTTTGTACTTTTTCCAACCGGATGCATTTCTTTTTAGAATAGAGTGAATAGAAAGTTATCCAGTGGTCATCTATCAGAGCCCGCTTCATTTACATTAAAGGAAATCACTGCAGTTGTTAAGTGAATCATGGGACCATTAAGCAAAGCTGGCTTCTCCCATTGACTTTGCTTGTCAGTAGCCGGTTAGAAATGTTACAAATGGTGAGCACATGGACAGTACAACTGTCATAAATACATCCCAGCTGGCAAGCAGCTGAATTTTGATGAAAGGACCATGGGTATACTGCAGTGGTTGTAAATGTGAAAAACCAGTCATAAGTCTTTTTTCAGTATTGTTGTAACTTTCAACAGTTACTTAATGAATAGTTGCAAGTTGTGGACTACCTATATATCAAAAGGTGTCAGACCATTTTGGAAGATCTCAACAAAGACAAAAGGTTTTTAATGTATTACATTTGTTAATTGATAAGGTACTTATAATGTGCCTCACACCTAAACTGTACCTCCATAACCATCTGTCTTCTTGCTTCCTCTCTTTCATCCCACCCCCCACCCCAAATGATATCCTATATCAATTTAATTACTCTGTGCATATGAAAATGTCAGCTGTAACTCAGAGGTGGGTTTCAGCAGGTTCTGACCAGTTCAGGAGAACCAGTAGCGGAAATTTTGAGTAGTTTGGAGAACCGGTAGTAAAAATTCTGACTGGCCCCGCCCCCATCTATTCTCTGCCTCCCAAGTCCCAGCTGATTGGGACGGAATGAAGATTTTATAGTATCCTTCCCCTGCCATGCCTACCAAGCCACGCCCACCAAGCCATGCCACGCCCACTAAACCACACCCACAGATCAGGTAGTAAAAAAATTTGAAACCTACCACTACTGTAACTCCCAAAAGATTATGCCTTTTAATAAAATATAATGCCTATAATTTATAGTGCCTTAGTAAGACCATACTTGGATACTACATCCCGTTTTGGTTGCCACAATGTAAAAAAAGATGTTGAGATTCTAGAAAGAGTGCAGAGAAAAACAACAAAGATGGTTAGGGGACTGGAGGCTAAAACATATGAAGAACGGTTGCCGGAATTGGGTATGTTTAGTTTAATGAAAAGAAAGACTAGGGGTGACATGATAGCAGTGTTCCAATATCTCAGGGGCTGCCACAAAGAAGAGGGAGTCAAGCTATTCTCCAAAGCACCAGAGGGTAGAACAAGAAGCAGTGGGTGGAAACTAATCAAGGACAGAAGCAACTTAGAACTAAGGAGAAATTTCCTGACAGTTAGAACAATTAATTAGTGGAACAACTTGTCTCCAGAAGTTGTGAATGCTCCAACACTGGAAGTTTTAAAGAAGATATTGGATAACTATTTGTCTGAAATGTTATAGGGTTTCCTGCCTGAGCAAGGAGTTGGACTAGAAGACCTCCAAGGGCCCTTCCAACTGTTATTCTGTTAAAATGTGTTAGTTGAAATGGCGCCACCAAATGCCTTCTCCTCATCTGGAGGGCCCTGAATCAGGAAGGCTGATTTAAATATTTCATTTATGCTGTGATTGTCTACCTTACAATTTAAGAAAATCACTGTTCTACAAGCTTCTCTATACGGTACAGTATTTCATTTATGCTGTTATTATCAACATTACAAGTTGCTTTAAAAAATCAAAGTTCTACAAGCTTCTCTAATATTAAGGGAAGTTGTTACATCCCCTTCCAGCCTGTCAGGTTTTTCATTGGCAAGAGTCCTCAAACAATCTGTTTTAAACAACTTTTTGAGTTTGGGAAATTCTCCCCGCATGGAAGCTGTAATGCTGGTAGAGCGGTTTCAAGCAGACATCCGTGACAGTATTTCACAAGTCCAGGATGCCTAAAAATAGTGTAGATCTGTGACCGCCAAGACCTTAGCAAAGGTTATGTGGAAATCTGAGCAGGCTAATGATACGGGACCAGGAAGATGGGACAGCTGCAGGCAGCTTCACTCCCTTGTGGCTTTGGGGCGGGTGGGTTGGTGGATGGATGGTACAGATGGCCCTGAGATCAGCAGAGACCTTCACAAATGGTTAAACAAGCTGGTACAGATATCAAATTACAATATATGGTTGGAGGGAAGAACACAAGAAGTCTTTTGCTGGAGTCACCATGCGTCACCCTGCTCCTAAACACTGTGGCCTTTATCAAGCAGTCCAAGGCCTTTGAGAAACTGTGCAAGCATGACCCTCTCCTCTTACTTGCCTAAGAAGTAGACTGCTCCCTGACATGGGCATTTCACTTAGCTATAACGGCTTCTTGCTGTATTTATATCCCTACATTTCCTGTATGAAATGTGGATAAACCTCATATCTGGGATGTTAGAATATTAGGATAGAATATTAGAATAACAGAATTGGAAAGGACCTTGGAGGTCTTCTAGTCCAACTCCCTGCTTAGGCAGGAAACCCTACACCACTTCAGACAAATGGTTATCCAATCTCTTCTTAAAAACTTCCAGTGTTGGAGCATTCACAACTTCCGGAGGCAAGTTGTTCCACTGATTAATTGTTCTGTCAGGAAATTTCTCCTTAGTTCTAAGTTGCTTCTCTCCTTGATTAGTTTCCACTCATTGCCTCTTGTCCTGCCTCAGGTGCTTTGGAGAATAGCTTGACTCCCTCTTCTTTGTGGCAGCCCCTGAGATATTGGAACACTGCTATCATGTCACCCCTGGTCCTTCTTGGTAACTGGTTCATATTTATGACCATTGCTGTGTCCTGAAGTCATGAGATCACCTTTCACAATCTTCTGACAAGCCAAATCACTGGGGAAGCCAGATTCATTTAATAACTGTGTTACTAACTTAACAACTGCAGTGATTCACTTAACAAATGTGTCAAGAAAGGTATTCAAATGGAGCAAAATTCCTTAACAAACGTCTCACTTAGCAACAGAAATTTCAGGCTCAGCTGTGGTCATAAGTCGAGGACTACTTGTAGCTTAACGCGATGTGTGAGCCCTGTCAATTATGATTTATTCACTAAGCAATGGTTAAAACAAACCACAATTAAGCATGATGTACAAACACAGCCAGTAAGATTTACTTCTGAGTAAACATGCACAGGATTGCATGGTGAATTGGCATCGTCTTATTTTGTGTTTTGGAAAAAAGGACAGCCATGATTCTTTTCAATAAAAATAATAAAGGGACTATCTGCAAGAAGTACCATTTGCCTGAAAGCAAGAACTGGTAACACCAAAAAAATAGTCAAAGTAATAGAAAATGAAGAAGCTAAAGTGCTGTGGGTCTTTACAGTTCAAACAGACAAACACCTGCCACATAACACCCCAATAAGAAAGACAGAAAGTTTGGATAGTGGACATGGAGGCAGCAGAATAGAAGAAAAAAAATTGAAGAAAATCACAAAATAGAAAGACCTCCAATCAGAAGTAGAATGACTGTGGTAAAAGAAAGCAAAGATAGTGCCAATGGTAATAGGTGCCTTGGGTACAAATCCCAAAATGTTTGGAGCATCACTTGAACACCATATCAGCACTGACAAAAACACCATCAGTCAATTGCAAAAGGCAGCTTTTACCTGGAACAGCTTTTGTCTTGCAATGATACCTTTAATACCATGGAACAACCACCTCTGTCTATCCCAGGTCCTTGGGAAGGACTTGACAGATGGATAAAAATACCAAATCTAGTCTAAACCGCTGGCTGACTGTGCAACTGACCATAATACTAAAAATAGATGAATTTGTTTAACCTCTTTCAAAGCACTCAGATTAGCAGTCTGCATTTGATGATAGAAAAGTCCACACTTGTAAATACATGCTTTATCAAGAAGTGTCCTCTGAAGAAGTACATTGATCTACCTCAAGGCAGGGGTGAAATTCAGTTGGTTCTATCCAGCTTGGGCAAACTGGTAGCAGTGGCTGCGGGAGGCTCCTCCCACCCACGCGGATGTCATGACGTCGCTTTTTTGCAACGATTTTAAGCCTCTGCGTATGCACGGCGCGTGCACATTTACGAACTGGTAGGGAAGGTAAGTAAATTTCACCCCTGCCTCAAGGAGTATATTTCCACACAGATGATCCATCTGCTAAGTCAAGCTGGCCAACATATGATGGTTGACATCACTTTCCTAGCTACAGTTCTCAAACTGCTTCCCAGGAACGTAGAAAGCACAAGGCAATCATCCAGCCTAAAAAAGTCACTTTTTAAAGGAGAATACATTTGACACTTCCACCTCCCCCAAAAAAGAACTTTGGTACTTACAAATCAAACACCAGGAAGAAAAAGGTGTGAGATTCAAAGCTGTCCTTCAGCTGGACTGGAAATAAAATGAGATATTTTAGGAATGTGAAATAACATTACAAATTTTCTTTAATACTAAGCAAGAATGGGAAGGTACTGAAGCACAGACCCCTGGCTTCATTGCACAATCCCACACACTGTTCTGCCTTTCCTCCAGTGTGCCCTGGATCTTCAGCTAGGCATCTCTGAGATTGTTTTACCCTGATCTGGGCCATTAGTTCACCTATCCCAGCATTCTCCACTTTGATAACTAGTGACTTTCTAAAATCTCTGGTTTTGAAAAACAGTAGACTCTGAACCTTGTGAAATCTTGTATTGCCAAGCCATTATGATTTATTTGGTTTATGTCTTAAGAAGATGGGTGGATCCAATCAATGACAGTTTATTCAACAAGCAATTGTTAAACCATGATGGTGCTTTGCAAATACAATAAAGATTTATTTCTCAATAGACATGCATAAGAATCTCCGTGTGAATTGTTACTGTCTCATTTTCTCTGTATTGGGGGAGAAGACATTTGTGATTATCATTATACGAGTAATCTACAATTAGATTCACAGTCAAAGACTGATGAAGACTTAATAATTGAACTTCTAACCAAAAACTTAGGAATTATTAAGGTAGCAGGATAGAGGCAATCCCAAGCAGTGTAACTTTTTGTTTAAAATCAGGGTATCCAGGTCCAATATTCAAAATGATCAATACTGAGGAAGTTCTTTAGTTTTCAATTATGATTGGTATATAACGGCAGATTTTTTTAAAATAAAGCATTCAACTTCAATCTACAAATCCTGGGATTTTGTAATTTTTTTTTTCCAGTTTGCTTTTCCTCAGTCCTAACATCACTGGGTGTAGCAACGTCACTGAATCCGATTTTCTTATTTTCAACGACTGCTCCCTGGGGCATGCTATGAACAAAATGCCTGTTCATTTGTTATTTATTTATTTATGAGGATGATGATTCCATGATATCAAAACTTGACTGGAAGATGTTAAATGTGGGGCGATGCCATTATAATAAATATTGTTTCTTGTTCAGTTATTTTTAGACCTCTGGTTTTTCTGTGTATGCCTCTCTATGCCTTTGGGGGCAGAGCAGGCTAGAAATATTAGTGCTGTAATAAATACATATGACATAACTTGCATTGTAGACGTAAGGATCAACCCAGCAAGGATGGGAGCAAATTCAAAGGAAAAATACAAAGACATATTAATATGATCTTGTCATCTATGTCTGTGTAGGAATGTTTGGGATTCTTTCCAGGCCAGAAGATGCCAATGATTTCTTACAAACAACCCAGGGATGATAAATTTGGTCATAGCTTTCCGTACTAGAAAGTAGCAATACTGTATTTTTTCCAAAAGGCAATGGGATTTTTTTCATTTTTTTTCTTTGAAAGAAAGCATTTGACTTTTCATCCCAGAAGTTTCTTCAGTTCTTCAGAACTGAAGTATCTTCTTGGATGAGAAGCAAAACGTTTTCAAGAAAAAAACCAAAAAAGTCCAGTTGCCTTTTGAAAAAGCACCTTTGGGACAACCATGACCTGAATGACTGAGAATCTCCATTGACATTTAGCAATACTGTAGCTAACTGGATACTCTTTTTATTTATTTATTTATTTATTTATATATATATACCGCTCTTCTTCCAGAAGGACTCAGGGTGGTGTACAGCCAGAATAAAACACACAGATATAAAATTTAAAAAACAATTTAAGAAATATTAAATAATTTGGCCCATATCTAATTAAAATAAACTACCCATTTTGGACATTTAAAAATTAAGAGTTAACGATTAAAAAATTAAAAAATTAGGCCAGCCCGGCTTGTTGGAATAAAAGCGTCTTGAGGGCCCAGCGGAAGATGCGTAAGTCGGGAATCCTCCGCATCTCGGGGGGCAGTTCTTTCCATAGGGCAGGAGCCCCCACAGAGAAGGCTCTCCCCCTGGGGGAGAGCCAGATGACATTACTTGGCTGACAGCACCTGGAGGAGCCCCTCTCTGTGGGAGCGAATTGGCCGGTGGGAGGCTATTGGTAGCAGAAGGCGGTCTTGTAAATACCACTTTATTTTTATGTTTTCCAAACATAAACTCTTCCTCCTGAAATTATATCCTGCAATAATAATGCTAATTCATCAGCAAATTGAAAATACACCATCCCAACTAGTGCAAGGGAAGCGGTGGGGGGGGTGTCTAATCTGGACCACTGGTTGAAATGGAAAAGATCGACAGCCATCAAACAATAAAAGTGGATGGCAGATTGGGTGGTTTTCTAGTTGATCAGAAGGATTTTGGATTCTCAATTGTTTAAAAATTAGTAGAGGCTACCAAAATTAGAAATATATTTGTAAGAATATTGAGCAGGGTGTCAAACTCGCGTCATCATGTGACGTATTGGGACTTTGCTCCCCTTCACTAAACCAGGCGGGAGCAGGGCCAGCATGTAACGCATCTGGCCCGCGGGCCGCGAGTTTGACACCCCTGGTCAAGGGGCTAAACCATATGATGAACTGCTGTGGGAACTAAGTATGTCTAATCTAACGAAGAGAAGGACTAGGGGTGGCATAATAGTCAAATCTTCCAATACTTGAAGGGCTGTCACACGGAAGAGGGATCAATTTATTCTCCAAAGCACCTGAGGGCAGGATAAGAAGCAACAGATGGAAACTTATCAAGGAAAGATCCAATCTGGAACTAAGGAAAAAAATCCTGACAGTTAAAACTACTAATCAGTGGAATGCCTCCAGAACTTGTGGGTATTCCATCACTGGAGGTTTTCTAGAAGAGATTGGACAGCCATTTGTCCGTAATGGTATAAGCTCTCTTATACCATTGGGGGTTGGACTAGGAGATCTCCAAAGGTTCTTTCTAGACAATGGAACATATGCTTTATGTTCTAAATAGCATATAATCACTCTGTTTGTAAGATATATTAAGAAGGGGATGGTTAGGCATGTCATGCAAACCCAGCCAATAGTAGTTTCAATTTGATTGTTTAAGGCTCTGGTACCACTAGGGCACGGGTCAGCTACCTTAAACACTCAAAGAGCCACAAAGGTCCTAACCAGAAGTCCCCCATTCAATTCTGGAGCCAACCGGAAGTCCGGTTCCCCCATCATAGAGTCTCCTCCTAGTGCGGCATCCTTTTTCCTCTGCTGACCGGAAGTCTGGTTCCCCCACTATAGCGTTTCCTCCTAGTGTGGCATCCTTTTTCCTCTACCTATCCTAACCAAAAGCCCTATCAATTGTGGAGCTGACCGGCAATGGAGCCACAGCAGAGGGATGAAAGAGCCACATGTGGCTCCAGAGCCACGGATTGTTGACCCCTGCACTAGGGTGATTTGGAAGCAAAATCTAACTTACTAATGTTAGGATGTCCAGACACTTTCTGGAGGATGTTGATTTCTTTCAGAGTGGCTTCTCTCAGCTCCTGAACTTCTTGTGGGGAGAGTTTTCCAGCTGTGATGTCTATAATTTTAACAGCGTATTCTTGTCGAGTGACTTTATGAATGCATCGACGGACAACACTGCTTACACCTCTGAAAAGACAGTCCACACAAAAGAAACCTTAGAGAGAGGGAGGGAGAATTAGAGGGAGGGAGAGAATCAAACTCACACACAGATGCAGATCTCTAAAAGGCTGGGTTACTTTGTTCATTCATGTTGTGAAAGGAGAAGCAAGGATAATTGTTTCTTTTATTAAAATTGGTAGTTATTGGAAATGCTACTGCATCACAAATGCTTGTAGGCATTGTCTTCAGAAAATAGCAAAAGATCTTAACTGAAATATGAAAGCTACAGCATGAAATGCAGTTATTCCACCCCATGCAGAGGTGGTATTTAGCCGGTTTGAGCCAGTTCAGACCAGTTTGCTTGAACCGGTAGCGGAAATCGTGGGTGGGGGTGGGCTCTATGCCATCCTATTTAGGCATGTTTTTGAGGCCGGGCACATCGTGGAAGGCACATGTGTGAGCAAAGCGCTTGTGTAGAAGGCTAGGTGCATGTGTGGAAGGCAGGCACATGTCCGAACTGTGCGCGCGGGCGCGCAGCAAACCAATAGTAACATAATCTGAAACCCACCACTGACCCCATGTATTCAGTATCAGGGAATATGAAGAAAGACTACCAAATTTATATATAGTTATAGGCTGCTCAAAAGCAAATAACATCTGTATTGTAGGAATTATAATCTAAACTGTGGTAGGTAGATTGTTTTCAGATTTTCTGTTCAATGGTAGCCACAATTCTCTGCAAGTCTCTTTTGAAGAAAAATTATATAGCCAGCTCCATCCATTACCATGTTTTTGAAAGGTTTAAAAAACAGTACTTTTCTTCAATATTTACTTAAATGCTTTGACTATATACCTACCTACCAGTGGTGGGTTGCCCCCGGTTTGGACCGGTTCGCAAGAACCAGTAGTAGTAAAACAGGCGGGAGGCCCTGCCCACTGCCCCTCATGCGCAGAAGCAAGGCACGCACGCGATCCCGTTACGAACCGGTAGTAAAGATAAGTAGAACTCACCCCTGCTACCTATCCTCCTTTTTCAGGGAGCTGAAGTTTCACAATTCATTATTTTCAATAATGTTCTTATAATTAAATTGTTTGAAATATATTCAGATTAATTTGCTATGTTCTGAATTGATTGTGTTGAAATTGGAAATGTCAGTTAAAGGAACAAATGCATTTTTGTTTTTGTTTTGAGAGTTACATAGCAAATTACCTATTACGATAGCATCTACTTTCAAATATTTACCTTCCCAAGATTTCCTTAGGTTCATATTTTTCATAAAACTCTTCAGAAGTATGGCTCTCTGGCAGTTCTTCAGTTTTGGTCATTTTGGCCTTCTTTTTTAGGAGCCTTCCAAAAAATTATTCTAAGATGACAAAATGCTGCAACAGAAACAGAAAAAAACCCACATCTCCAAGTAATTTTTCTCCTATTTATAGTTACAGCAAAGTTTTTCATATTATGCTGCTCGCGATAAATATTCTGTAAGGGTTAGCTTCCTTTGTGCAATTCTAGAACAGTGTTTCTCAAACTCAGGAGCTTCAAATTGTATGGACTTCAACTCCCAGAATTCTCCAGCCAGCATCCAATTCTGGGAATTGAACTCCACAAATCTTAAAGTTGCTGAGGTTGAGAAATACTGTTCTAGATTGATATGCAAAATTATAGAAATGACTGTCAGAATATTTTTAGACCTAAAACCTATTTGGAATATATGCTAACGGAGCCCATTCGTCAGATTTCACAGAGACGTGAAGGTAATTATTTCATTCCACAAATTCATGAACTAGTTAAGGGCAGAGTATGGTAGATAAATTGATTTATTGCTGACCAAAAAGGATCCTATTTAAGCAGAAGATCTGCTTATTGCAGAACACAGAATCAAGTGAGCTTCTTTTCTCTTCCTTGGCTCCAGAATTTAAGTGGTTTCTCTTCTCCTTTTCAAATCTTTGGACTCTGACTAATTCCTGCTTTGCCAGCTTCTTTGTGCCATATGAATCCATAAAATTGAGTTAACTGAATAAATCATGATTCACTTAATTTTGGTCAAAATAATCACAATAAAAAATACTTGATGAAAACAGCAATTGGTGGATTCACATATTTCATTTAGCTAAAATGTAGTTTGCTTTTTTTTTTTTTAGTAAATGTAATGGCAGAATCTAGGCATTGTGGCTTAGCAGGATTTATGTACTGCTGTGATTTGATTAATAAACCATGACTCATAAACTTCAGGCTTAGGCATCTGTATATACACTGGCACTAAATTGACTAATTCAGCCTTTATAAAAAAATTGTTCATATTCAGTTGTCTTGACCTATTTGAGCCTTCCCTCTCTTGCATTTAACCATGGTACCAACTTATCTTTATTTTCTACTCCATCCTCATAATGTTGCCTTCATTTCATCTCCAGCAAATACCTCTATGCTTGTCAGCCATTGTTCAGTCTGCTTTTAAACACAGGTTTAGCACTATTCATTTTTTTGAATGCACTTGCTCCAAAACGTCTTTGCAAAATTGAAATGCATGTTTAACTTGGCCATGGGAAAGAGCCCTTTCTATTTTCCTGACTGGCTTCCATCATCATCTCAACATTTATACTGCAAAACTACCCAATATAGTAACCCTTCTTCTGTCATTAAATTATGTCAGCTGGTGTTCTTCAGAATTAGCCTTCCCCTCCCCCCCCCCAACAATATGATGGCTCCAACTCTTATTAGTCTTATTAGGACTAGGGGAGACATGATAGCAGTGTTCCAATATCTCAGGGGCTGCCACAAAGAAGAGGGAGTCAAATATTCTCCAAAGCACCTGAGGGTAGAACAAGAAGCAATGGGTGGAAACTAATCAAGGAAAGAAGCAACTTAGAACTAAGGAGAAATTTTCTGACAGTTAGAACAATTAATAAGTGAACAACTTGCCTCAGAAGTTGTGAATGCTCCAATACTGGAATTTTTAAGATGATGTTGGATAATCATTTGTCTGAAGTGGTGTAGGGTTTCCTGCCTAAGCAGTGGGTTGGACTAGAAGACCTCCAAGGTCCCTTCCAACTCTCTATTCTATTCTATTCTATTCTATTCTATTCTATTTCTATTCTATTCTATTCTATTCTATTCTATTCTATTCTATTCTATTCAACTGAAACACTTGGCATTTTCCTCCTGAAATGATGGTAATTGAATCCCTTCTACTGATTGATTATGAATATGGATATGATTGTAGTTCTTTTCCCTTATGACATTTTGTTCTTTCTGTTCAATTGTGTTTCACACATGTACACAGACTGGAGTCATAAACTTACAATTTTCTTAAATAAATGTATTTACACTGCTCTATAAATAAGATATTTTTAAAAATTATGGCAAGTCAACATTTGTCTAAATTTGTTAGACATTGTCTAACATTGTCTAACAAATGTCTAAATTGAAACACACCACAAATAATGAGGATTCAGTGTGGAAAATGTTGACTTGCCATAATCTAATTTCTCCATGGTCGTAGAAGGAAAGCCAAGATAGAGGGGTAAAGCATAAAGCTGAAGCAATTTCCTTATATACTGTATATATACACCTATTTGTATATACAGCCTGTGGGGAGCTGGTTTTACACATGGATCTCCTTGAAATCATGACATACATTAGTTATTACTTAAAATAGGTTGTTTTAAATAAAGGACACATGTAATCTGGATCTGAATAGTACTGTGATTTAGTTCAGATGTAGTATAGTGTGTATTAATTAGTTTGAGGCATACCCCAATTATTTTCCTCTTTCTGATTGCTAATTGTAGGGAAGTGATTTACTTGTAAAAGCAATACAAATACTTATTTCACCCATTAAAATGCAAATCAATTTATAATTTTTTTGGAAATGCGTTTTTCTGGATTTTTTTTTTTGGTTGTTATTCTATCTCTCACTGTCAAAATAAACCTACTATTAAAATTACAGACTGATCATTTCTTTGTCAGTGGGCAAACGTACAAAATCAGCAGGGGATCAAATACTTTTTTCCCTCACTGTAATTGGGGATTTTAAGACATTTCGAGTTTCCCTGGAAAGCAGACTATAAGATCAAAATCTTTGTCTTGCATTCTAAAAGCCTTGAAGATATACTCTGAAAGCCCCGGAATGGAAAATGCTACCTTTTTCTACAGGTTCTATCCAGTGGTGGGATTCAAGTAATTTAACAACCGGTTCTCTGCCCTAATGATTTCTTCCAACAACCAGTTTGTCAAACTGCTCAGAAAGTTAACAACCGGTTCTTCCGAAGTGGTGCGAACTGGCTGAATCCCACCACTGGTTCTATCTACCCTTATCTTTAATATAGTGCTAAACCCAAACTCAAACTTAGCCTTATTTCCCTGTATGTATCTCCAACTCAATTAATACCCTTACAGAGTTGCATAATTTAATTTGCTAAAGAAGACCAATTTCTTGATAAAAGACATGATTACTTACCCTAAACGTCATTTGCACAATCGGTATCTTCTAACCAAGAGTAACCCCGCAGATCCAATCTCAAAGCCCACTTTGAGAAAGAATTCCCCGTGTTATTTGATGGCCAGTAATTAAACCGCATAGCAGGGTCTCGCTTTCTGTTTTAATTTGTTGTGGATCACTAACGCTGTGGCGGCTGCATTGCCAAAAATAAAAATCGCAGTGCAACTCGAGAATTGTTCCAAGTCCTCCAGTTTGCACGCTCAGCTCCCTCTCTGCTTAGGCTGGAGTGACCCTCTTTGAGGTGAAGGAATTCTTCAACAACCAACAGCGCTCCCATGAATGAAAGGACAAGCAGGGATTTCTTTTCCAAGGAAACAAGAACTAGGAACTTAATCTGGAATGCATGCATAATGTGATTCCACAAGGCAGGACATATGAAGTGCTACAGGATTAATTTTTTGCTTTTTTAAGAGGGAACATTTGGGGGTGTCTGAAAATGCAGTTGACCCTAAGTGGCACATTTAAATTCTTAAAATGGTGACCTCATTAGTTTGCCTTTTGTTAAAGAGTGTGAAGAGTGATAACCTACCCTGGATAAATTCTGTTGTCTTTCCGTTTGTCTCATGATTCAAAACAATACCGTTGACGCACGAGACCACATGTTCCACCTATTTTTATGTACTGAAGCAACCACCTCTTCATTAATTAACTTCTATATAATGCCTTGTATCTTAAGGGGCACATTTGGGGGCAGCTGAGAATGCAGATTAAAAATTTAATCCTGGAGAAAATTTATGTCGTTTGCTGAGAGTCAACATTGACTTGATGGCTCATAATCAATTAAATAAAAATTGCAATTGGGCGATAATTTTTGGAAAGCTGTTGTCGGGTGGGGTGGGGTGCCTACTGAAGGTTTTCAGAGCTGTGTGGCTTCAGTATTTTCTTCTCTGGGCACCAGCTGGCCTTGCTGGCTATGCCCATAGTCATTTACAGTATGTAGATGGCATCCGATCTGAGAAACTCAGAATGTTGTATCTAACGGTGCCAAGTGAAATTTTAGAAATCAGGGGGGCTGCTAAATATCATCTGCAGTAATGACCACCTTTAATATTTTATACACGGTTTCCTAGAAGACTATGAAGAGCAGACTAAAATATGAAAGGTTTAAAAGGGCAATATGATGCAAATTTAGACAAAGCCATGTACATTTAATATAGGTAGTCCTCAACTTAGCCACAGTTCGTTTAGTGATTGTTCAAAGTTAAAACAGCACTTTAAAAAGTGACTTATGCTGTTTTCCATACTAATGACTGTTGCGGCATTTCCATGGTCACATGATCAAAATTCAGATGCTTGGCAACTGACTCATATTTATGATGTTTGCAGTGTCCCAGGGTCATGTGATCAACCTTCTGACAAGCAAAATCAATGGGGAAGCTAGATTCATTCAACAACTTTATTACTAACTTAACAAATGCAGTGATTCATGTAACAACTGTGGCAAGAAACCTCATAAAATGAGGCAAAATTCACTTAATTATGTCTCAGCAACAGAAATTTTGGGCTCCACTGTGGTGGTAAGTCAGGGACAAACCTGTATACATAACTCATAAAATTTAGATTTGTTCCTCATATCATTCAGTAAAGTTGATTGGCAAACAGGAATAGTATTGACAATTCCAAGGAAAATTTAAATGTGTAAAGATAATCCAACATCTCCTTCATATTTTCTGTTAGATCACTGCTTCATAAAAGTAAATGTGAGTATTGTAATGCAATAATTATGATCTGAGCTATGTACAAAAATTTAAATTTCTGACCACTGTAAGGTTTGAGGGTCCAGATAAATTGAGTATTTTAAGTACATAGATGTAGCTGTCGTTTGACTCATACGTCTCTAACAGATGTTATTTCTGTATGATCTGGCTTACAAATTAGATCTATGCATTTACATAGTAAATTATCTAATATTTGGGGGGGGAAAAGTGTTTCTCATTTTTCAAACTTGGCAACTTTAAAATATATGGACTTCAGGTCTCAGAATTCTCCCAGCCAGCTGGAAATTAGTGTCTATACATCTTAAAACTGCCAAGTTTGAAAAACACTGGTTTATCCAGTTCTAAAATTAAAATATAAAAATTATCTGTATATTTCAGCATATTTCTGAGGCTGAAGTTTTCTCTGGAAATTACATTTAGTTGAGAAGGTATTATAGAAGTGAATTAATGAAGAGGTGGTCGCTTCATTACATAAAAATAGGTGGAACATGTGGTCTTGTGTCAAAGGTATTGTTTTGAAGCATTGGCATTTAATGAGACATTCTGAAAGGCAACAGAATTTACCCATGATAGGTTATCACTCTTCACACTCTTAACAAAAGACAAAGTAATGAAGACTCTTCTGGTCACCATTTTAGTCCCCAGAATGTTTCTTATTCCCAATGTACCTTTTTTTCTGGATTAACAGGCAGTTTATCAATAAAGTATTGAGCTTCAGCTACCCAGTTTTGTTCCCCCTAGGATATCACTGGGATTTATGTGCAACCCAAAATGATGAATAGAAATACAGAAGTAGATGTGTTTGAATGTTATTTAAGACTTTTGATGGTCCATTACAGCTATTTGTTTTGAAATTTATAGGATTGTGGCTAGTTAACCTTTTTTGACAATCAAGCAAATTCAGTTTTAAAAATGACATCCTAATTCATCTTGTTGCTGTTGCCTATTATTTTACATAAGATCAATTTAGTATCCCAAAGTCAATTATTTATTGCCATTTTCCTTAAAACAGGCACTTTTCAGATATAGTCTCGAGTTCCCAGAATTTCCCAGCAGTGAGTTTAGAAGATTGAAAGGGAGAATGTGTACCGTGCAAGTGGTAACTTTTATACAAATTCAAATACTGTATCAATTGCCATGACTCTGTACTGAATTCATGAAGTGAGACTTGAAAGGTCACTTGAAATGCCCTTGTTGCTTTTTCAGAATAGTGACTGAATGTATTGCTTCAACCATGGAATGTTCCTGAAAGATAGTTTGCTCAAGAAATGTGGGGATCAGTGCTGAATTTTATGACACCTTGTTGATAACTTGTGGAAATGTTACAGAAATATTAAGAAATATTTTGCAGTTGAGTCTGTTAGCAGATGATGCGGAGGGGGAAGATCATCTTGACACTTGACATTAAATGGTATGGTGTCTGGATTGACTCCCCTCACCCCCTAAATCACCCCCATGATTTATTTTTTCCACTTTTGGATCTGGATAGTAGCACTTCCTCAGACACACCTGATGTGTTTTTCGTCTTTGAAATTTCTTTAACCCTTGTTAGCTGTCCATTTGTGAACAGCCTCAAAAATGGACTAAATAAACAATTCTCTCTCTCCAAGTTGCAAAATGTGGATTGAGCCCAACTGTCCAGGAAAAATGTCAGTAGATGTTGCATTTTATAATATTGTGCATTCTTAACAATAAATTAAGAAAACAAATTCTTAACTTACAGATAAAGTAATGCATCCCATGCCTCCTGTTTTCAGTCATCATTATTTATCAAAAGGAATTTAAAACCTCTTTTCCAGAATAATATTTTTTTATTCTAAGGATCATACACAATTACAATCTGGAATATCACAAGTGAAATAATCCTAAAATTGGATGACCATTCTACTTTCCCAATCACAAGAAGTTACTGCCACAATTCTTTTTGCTGCAAGCTTCATGCTTTCTTGTCAGATGGAAAACAAAGACACGTCGGAGAGCTTTTAGATGTTAAAAAGAAAATTTTACTGGCGATCTATCTCAGTGATGGAGCTAGATTTGATCCTCCAGCGTTTAATTAAGATAAGCCTGTGGATTTGAAGGAAAAAATAAAACATATATATAAGTATCAATACATAAAAAGAATGCACTGCAAGATCTAGAAAATCACATTTAAGTTCCCTGACCTTTCCATACCACATTTAAGTACTATCATAGCCCCTTCGCATTTTTTCCTCCACTTTTTACACCAAGCCAATATTATTTTTCATTCTTTTATCAAAATTCTAAAAATGAGCTAGTAGAAATGGGCTGCTGGATACTAAATTCTACCTGAAGATTTTTAGTACAGATTTTCCCAAGTTGTATATTCATGTGACTTACTATCTTGATCAAACACAGGTATGACTTTACTTTAATGCATTATGTATTTGCATTTCATCAGGATACAACGAGGTAAACTGATAGCCAATACTAGACCACTACCAATAACTGGGTATCTTCAAAATACCTCTTATTATAAAGTTTAGATTAAGCACTATGTCAGGAATGTCTAACAAAGTTGGAATTAACAGCTTGCTAGGAGGCACACAAACAATGAAAATCTTAAGTTTGCAAGATAAACTGGCATGCAACTATAGAAATCAGTTTTAAATTGTCATCCTGCATGGAATAATGAAGTTCAGTTATCACTGTAAGTAAGCAGTGTTTAATGTTTTGTATGAATTAAGTTAACAAAATTAAATGTTTTCCTAACATTGTAACCATCACCCTCAAACGTCCTCCAGCAATGATTCATAACAGTGCCTAAACCAATTGTCCTCTTTCTCATGCTTCAAAAAGAAGCCTGCTTCCAATTTCTAGAGGAAGCCACAGAAGCTACATACCATTTGCAAATCGGCATTGCTTCAGCACTTCGCTGAAGCCTTCGCATAGCTTCAGATCAGCCTGGTTCTGAGCACACTCCAAGAACTGCTTCATCTCATACTGGCAAGCCGTGTATTGGGATTGCTGCATAGCAGGCTGGGCTGGCTGAGGTTCCTAAAGAGGAAATGCAAGCAATGAGACTGAGAATTGGAAGAGGGGAAGGGAGAGAACAGATCCTGATAAGGACGTCCAACCAGGACCTCTTTTTGTTACAAACTGCAAAAATGGGGAAAATTCACATACACGAATTGTGGAATTCCATAATTTGTGGAATTCTCAGCCCTGCTGATAATTTCATGTAACACCTTTCCTAATCAGCAGGTTTTATCCTCCAATTTCTTCAACTAAATATCTCAAGCATTCCATGATATTTAATACAATTATGCTAATAACAGCCTGAAAAAAATAACAGATGGTTTGTCTTGTGGAATACTATGAAGAAATGTACTCTTCAAAAAAAGAGTAGCACTTCATCTTAAAATATCATTTTTTAAAGCACATGTCTTTCCCTTTTTGTTCTCCCTGTTTATTAGCCAGTTCACAATCTTTCTTGACAAGTATACATTTCAGAAAAGAAAT